ATACCCATTTGGTGCAATCATGGGATTATTAAGTTGGCAATTAGTTGTAGGAAGTGAACATGAAATGGACGTGTTTGGCCAAGTGATTTACCACCGAAACTTACTGTATGGGTGGGCAGCTCTTAAATAAGAAAAATGGTCCTCCATAAATTTCTGGCTCTTAGATGTAGATGAATTAGAAGCACTGCTCAGAGAAAAAAATCTCATGAAAAGAATAGGTATCGATTGAGTGATTGAAGATGCGCCAGGTGTTCGACCTCTAACCAGAATTGTAAAGTCCCTTGAAAACGAAACGTCCCTAGGCAAAAAGTGGTGCGGGCTCATTTGTCCTTGCTCGGAATCGATCCATTGAAGCGTGTTAGCACGGTAAAGCACCTCTTACCACTGCGCCATCTCAACACAAAAATCCCACCATACCTTTTTGTTTTTCTTCAGAATCAGTGGCGCCAGTTTTTCATTACAATCAGGTTTATCGGGTGGTGGACGAATTACCGTACGCCGATCTCGTTCGCGTTTGAACCTGTGAAAGGGCTGAATTATCAAAGGTCTGCATCGTGCGGAAAACGTGCCGCTATCAAAAAACGTTTTTCATCGATTTTTTCTGTAAGTCCTCTCACCTCTTTTTTGCAGCCCTCAATATTTTCCAATAGATGACTATAATCGCTATTAGAGGAATGTAGAACGCTGTTGCTGTCGAAAACACCTGAAATACATAAATTAACAGTTCGTAACTCATCCCCTTTAGTCCTACGATATAACCCTAACCCATTCACGGCAACCAAGGTTGGACCATATGACGTCATCGGCTCTGCGGTTGTCTAGGGAGAGGCTGTCCGCCTAGTTTTCCTTATGGAAGCAACGCTGAGGTGTCGCGTGTTCGGCGCGAAGTTATCAGCGCGTGTCGCCGCAGCAGTAAAGCGCGGCGCAGTTTGGCGACGGGGGGGCATTTTGCACTTTCACTGCTTCACTACTTCCGGTTTACAAGTCTCACTCTGGTGAAACTTGTGAACTCTTGTGAAGCTGAGCAAGCTCGCCTAGCGACCAACCAAAACGTGGTGAAACGTGTCAACTCAAAGCTGTCTCGTCAAAGCTATCTAGATGGGTCGACACATTGATGGAAGGCAAAATGTTCCCCCACCCCCCGTCGCCGAATTGCGCCGCCCAGCGCTGGTTCCAACAAGCGCTATGAGGGTTAAAGTGGGGCGTACGGGTGCCGTTAGAAAATGGTTACATCAGATGAGAGCTCAAAGTAGACCTCACAAGCGCAGAGGCACAACGGAGGTAAATACTGACTATGAGTGATAGAAGATGATAACAGTTGATGAGCGGGTAAGGAGCGCTGAAATGGAAATGTCCGCAAAGTCTGCGACGCTACACCTCGTGGTGGAATAAAATCGTGCAGAAGTAGTGATATGGGTACAGTCCACTCTCTTGGAGGGTAGTGATACCAGCTGATAAGAACTGATAAGAGATGGTCCATGCCACTTCTCCTACGTCTCCTGGTGTCTCTTGTACTACCCCATTTACAGATGAAGGGCACCGCGTACGTTGGCAAAATAGGGGCTATGGAAGAAAAGGTATAAAGAAGGAAGGAAAAGCCTCTTGGGGTATGCCGAGAATTGGAACCCAGTCGTTCCGAGCACTGTATAAGAAGAGAATACGTGATCAGATGAAGGCGCGGTTCAGCTTGGGCGGGGGACAGTTTGCACTTTCGCAACCCCATCGACGTGTTTCACTGCTTCACTAGAGTTGACAGGTATACTTTACAAGAGTTGACAAGTGGTCTCAAGAAAGTTTGGTTGGTATCATTTTTTTTTCGATTTCACAAGTTTCCGCAGTCTCCTCTTGATGGCCCGATAGGACAATGGGAATTAGCCAGAGTGCAAAATGGTTCCTCCCCCCCCCACCTCACGTCTCAGATGAACTGCGTCCCGATGAGTTCTTCGCTGTCGAATGAAAGCAGCGCATCACGTTCTTTGTGGTCAGCAATGGTGCAGCTGAAAAATGGTAATTTTTGGCCGATTTTCGAAGGATCGAGAGCAAGAAAGAAAAACCGCAAATGAGCGATGGCGCAGTTGCGGTCAGAGGGGGGGGGGAGCATTTAGCACTTTCATTGCCTCACCAGTTCCAGTTTACAAGTCTCACTCTGGTGAAACCTGTGAACTCTTGTGGAGCTGAAGCAAGCTCGTCAAGTCAATATGGTAAAACCTGTTAACTCGAGAGGAGGCTGTTCAGACGGGTCGAGTGCAAAATGCCCCCCCCCTCGCGTCGCCGAACTGCGCCCCGAGCGATGCTTTTGATCGCTGGCTTTCGCTTGTGCCTCTCGTATATTGAATCTGCCAGCGGATTTCCTCCACACTGAGTAAGCACCGTCTCCATCAAAGAACCAATTTCGGAATTCGGCAAGAATTCCGAAGGTGGTACCAGAGATTCAATCGAGCCTAACGCCGTAGTGCGATGCCCGCAAAATCCCACATTATCTTCGAAATTTATCAAATTTTCTTCTTATGCCATGGGAAAGCACTGTCTATGGAGACCATTCCACTGGGAAGAAAAATAAGGTCAGAAGAGAAGCACCATAATCCCGTGGGGCATTTGAGGTGGGTAGCCGAGCACAGGTTGACAGGGGTTCCCATTTCTGTTGAGCACTGTGAAAGGCCGAGGTCCATTCGGGCAATAGGTTCGGCAGCATTCACCCTCTACTAACTCAGGCTGTTTTCGACGGGCAGTGGGGGCGTCACGCTCATTTGTGAACCCTGTCGATCTCGGCAGTTCGGAGACGGGGGGCATTTTGCACTTTTGCTACTTCCCATCGATGTGTCGGCCTATCTGGATAGCCTCTTCTCAGTTGACAGGTTTTAACATGATGACTTGACGACCTTGCTCCAGCTTCACAAGAGTTCACAGGTTTCGCCAGAGTGAGACTTGTAAACCGGAACTAGGGAAGCAATGATAGTACAAAATGCCCCCCCCCCCCCCGTCGCCGAACGGCGCTGTCTCCTGTTGTCGAACAATCCTCAAAGTTTCCTGGGGCCAAAGTTCCCTTGCGTTCAGAGAGAACAAGTACCCTCCAATTATGCGAGGAAGTTAGTCTCTCAGTCATCTCTGGAATTTCCTAGAAAAATTCAATCTAATTTGGGCTGAAAGTTAATTTGGCTCCCAGAAAGTGCACCAAGGGGACCTCCACTGTTTGCAATTCCTCATTTGCAGCCAATTCCTTCATTTGCTGGCTGTTCATTAACGACTGCGGCCCCAAAGGACCAGGGAGACTCAGAGGGAATGTTGCGAATAGGCCAGTCTTCGGTTGTTCTAGGAATGCCTTTTTTTCAGACGAAAGTTCAAATTACGTTGATTGCATTCGACTAGAGTGGTGGCGGCGGTATTCTTGAGCCCAACTCGATTAGTTCCTCAGCACTTCACTGCACTCATAGCAATACATACCAAGGAAGTGTGAGGTGTATAGAAACACCACACTCGACGCACTTTCGCAGACTTCGTGCAAAAACGCTTATCCATTTTTTTGAAAGAGCGGCGAATGGCAAGTACATGGCCCAAAAGCCGAGTGGTGAAAACGACCGAGAGTTCAAGACTTTGCGCGCTCTTTCAACTGTTACTGCCCCAGAAACTTAACTTTTCCCGCTGGAACTTCTACTATAGGTGCCCTGATCACGAATACGACCCCCATTTTTGGCGCGAGAGCCAACTTGATGCCATTTTCAACAAAAATCGGCATTAACCTGCAATCCAGGTTTTCTGATTCCCTTGGGGCATCTCAGGACTCCCTGCCACTGCGGAAAATTTCTTTGCGAAGTGCGACCCCTTCCCGCCTTCCCCCCTCCCCCCCACGACACACATACAAAACGCACAACACACACTACGACACACATCACACACACACAAATTTAAGGTGCAGGGCACATAATGGTTGGAATTCCCCAACAGAGGACGTATTCGGTCGCTTGGAGTGGGAAAGTCGCATTTGCCTTTGCGATGTTGAGAAAAATATTTTTCCCGTTGTAGAGTTTTCGCGGTTTTTTTTTGTTATACATGTTGATGTGCTATATGCCCCCTCCTTCCCGCGCGACAGCAAAATTTTGGGGAAGAAGTATGAAAATTTCCGGGACTTTGCACTATAGTTTCTCACTAGTGGGAAGTCTGGACAAGTCTCAGAAATGGTAGTAAGTTGAAGGGAGTCGTATTCTCCGACAAAACCCTCATCCCCGTATTTTTCTCCGAGACCTTCCCCGTTCCAGGTGCGCAGTATACCTCCCTCCCCTCGCTTGGCAGCTCGATCAGAGGACGGAACTAGTGGAGGGAGGGGGCCGTATCAAGCCACCTTCTAGGGAGGGTTCGTGCGGACGCGACCAAAATCCCCTACTAATCATGTGCCTTGATTGAGGTTGCCAAGAATCTAATTCCGCTCTCCACCTATAGCCAAGTACGGCTTAGGCGAAAGTTGAGAAGTGATCTATGCACTCGACGCTATCAGTTTTACGCGTAGTTCAGGATACTGTACCCCGCCTATTTCGTGAAATTGTAATTTAATCCCTTGGCGTTTCATAGGCTAAATCCATGTCCTCTCTGTTGACTGCAAAGGGGCAAATATCCATGCAACCTATTAACTCGATGAGTTCCACTGCACTAGTGTTCACCCCTACTTAACTATGTCAACATTAGCTGAATTCGTTCACGCTTGCACATATAAGGAATGCAATCTCATTAAAGCAGCGAAGGACATAATGGACGCATTTTCACATGAACATGGAGAAATGTCTGCAAAAACGCGTCAAGAGCTTGGATTTTCGTTTGCACTCGGCACACAGCCTCAACGAATGCACAGAATTCTAGGAACCAATTGGAATGTCTTCCCATGGGGCAGATAACTGTTTGGGAAAATCTCTTTTTATGGTGCATGGGTAAATGAAACGTATACATCAAGGTTACCACTGAATAAATAAAGAAAGAGAGCTAGTAAAGACTATTCGGCTTGGGCCGGGGGTACTTCACCAGTTTTTGCTAGTTTCTACTGAGTTACCGTCTCATTTTAATAAGACCCGTAGACACTTGTCAAACATCAAACAAGCTCTTGCTATTGCACACCCTCATAGGATTTTACAAGTCCGCAGGAGGGATCAGTAGTGGCCTGGAACCAGCAAAATGCCCACACCACGCCGAACAGCGCTGGTAAGACTACTCCCAGAAAAGCCGCCACCACACATAGGTAATGGGGTTTTTACATAGCCTTGGGACCTTAATTGGGTACAAGGCGGAAGTACATGACATGAAGTGATATATTCCTCGATGAACAGAGTGGACGGGGACTTCTAGCCCTCTGTCGTACTCGCCTGTTCAGTGCACTGAATAAAGAAGCGGGGCACGCAAAGAGAAAGACTCAAGCGGAGTCATGGCCCGATTTTTGCGCCTAAAAGAGATAAGCGGAGTCAGGGCCCATTTTTGCGCCTATACTGTCATTACAGAATGTGTTTCTCAACACACTGGGATTTAAAAATGGGCCAAAGTGAGGTCGAAGCCACAACGGATAGAAATAGCTGCATGGGCATTCCAAAAACGATTAATCAACGCCTAGGACTTCGTACGTACAAATGGTTTCGAATGGAAAATAGAACTGGAGTCAAGTCGTCAAGGAGGGAGGGGAGGGGATACTTGTGCAAGGTATCTTAAACGACATTGTCATAGAAATGTGTCTGCCTACCGCGGAGTAACTTCGGCCTGTGA